ACGAACTACGATTATAACAAACTACGGTTATAACGAACTACGATTATAACGACTATAACGAACCACGGTTATAACGAACTACGATTATAACGAACTACGATTATAACGAACTACGTATAACGAACTAAAATTAGGCGTTCCTTTGGGTTCGTTACAATCGTAGTTTACTGCACCAATCTCAACTATCCGCGGAAACAACTTCCGTCGGGCGTAGAGGACAAAATGGGGGTGAAAATTGCATGAACGAATTACTGAAGTAAGCAATAACACCGGGTGTTTGCGAAAAGGGCAATCACGTCTTGCCCTGTCGGTAGCACTCACAACTTACTCAAGTTTCAAGAGTTTGTTGCCTAACGCCACACAGGTGTACTCCTGCCAAACTACGCAGGTCTAGAATGAAACCAGACAAGATAGTGATGGTCCGGAAAGTGAGTGAGTGATTATGGTTTTACGCCACTTTTGGCAATATTCCAGCAATATCACGGCGTAGGACACCATGAATGGCCTTCACACATTGTACCCATGTGAGGAATCGAACCCGTGACGAGCAAACGCTTTAACAACTAGGCTACCCCACCGCCCCGAAAATCATATGAAACCATAGCGCATTTACTAATGTTGAACCCAATTACGATATGTTGATTCTGCATTGTGTAGAAGAGCAGCAAGTGAAGAAAACTTCTAAAAAACATGTTCATTTTTTGGCAACACAGTAGGGTTAGTTTTAATGTACCAGCTTAAACTTTTCTATTGCAGGTGATTCGTATTTAGCTTATGACTGACTGACTGACTGAGTTTGGTTTTACGCCGCTTTTAGCAATATTCCAGCAACATCACAGCGGGGGATACCAGACATGGGCTTCTCACATTGTACCCATGTGGGGACTCGAACCCGGGTCTTCGGCGTTGCGAGCGGACGCTTTAACAACTAGGCTACCCCACCGCCCCAGCTTATGATGAAACCCGGGAACCGAATCCTTGGATATAAACATCGAGACAATTCCAGTAAATATGAGACAACGTCTACTGAAAGGGTTTCCATTGTAAAATAGTTTGTCTGACGCTGAAAGCTTCACTTATGCAGTCCAACACGTCATAGCCAGAGGCAAACGTGTGACACATTAACAAGGATCCACGCAGGTCACGATGACACGCCACTAGGGCACTATGATAGGCTACAAGCCAAGCCAATAGCCTGTAAAACTGCAGGATTCTAGGATTCTTAAAATTGAAGATGCCTGTTCGTGCGTTCGTGCGTGTTACTCAGACGCGACATGTCATATTATCCCGATCAATATGATATGATATCTCATATTATTCCGACCTGTAACACTGCTGTCAAATTATATTATTAACAAACTTAACTGCAACCTTCCCAATCTACCGGGTACCCAGTCATTACTTTGTGTATAAAGATAAATTCCTCATGCTTGTTTTGCCGAATATTGCTGATGCGAAGTAAAGTGAGATATCACTTCTTTAATAACGTTTTTATGATGAAGGGATAGAAAACCTTGGTTCTCTCTTTTAAAACAATTTCACCAGGTCATCCGATTATGAATATATTAAATCAGCACTTTTGTCACATCACATCGGGATTACATTATGAAATAGCCTTAGACCTAACGACTCATTTACTTGTTGACACATATGTCTCTACTGTTTACAAAGTTGGAATGTACAGGTCCAAAATGTCCCTACAGGCTAAAAAGGTCTCCCAAATCAAGAAACCCAAATCGACATTTCTCGAAAGTTTCTTAATGATATTGTCAAGGATTGACAGACACCAAAGAGGCGATGTGAGAGGTTTTCACGCTAGCTAAAACATTCCATAAAGTTTGCAACTTCAGATTTACTTTCATTGATTACAATGCCATCGGCATCAAATCTAAAGTGCCGTGGTGTTCTGTGCGGGTCGCTATCAGTCAATATTCCTATGACTATTTTAGTTGCACTCCTCTCAACACAGCCTTATTTCCCGTACGGTTGAACATAAGGGGAACAGTACAACGCAACTACACAATGCAATAAATATGTCATTAGGTCTTCGCACTTGGATGCTAAGCTATGTTTGATTGAAAAATCATGTGTAAATTTGTAAATGGCTAAATATTGATCCTGGTGTGTTTCATCCATAGTAGACACAGAGGCGGCAGGTGATCCTCCAAAGGATTAGACCTCTCAAGCTAAAGCTAAGCAACCGCCTTGAGATGGACTTCTTCCCAGCAATGTCTGAGGTCTTCTCGATGGCGCCAGACTGTACTCGCGGGATATCCTGACATCATTCACTGTAGGCTCTTTTATAACCACAGGTCCTAAGGTTTTAATCACAATTGCTGACGATAGGCAAGACATGAAGGGCTATCTAACACGGAACGGCAGGTTTTGCTGGCTGCGCGGGTTTAAAAAATGGCATATGTTTATTGGCGCCATAAATGTTGTCATAACGGCAATTTCATGGCTTTAAAGCAGGTATGGAGTAGACGAGTGTTATGTTTAAAAATATTCTCTATATTTATCATTTTTATAGCATCCTTTATTTCATCACTTTAATGTATTCTAGGCCATCCTGTTTTATTTGTGAATTTGTGTGTAAATTCAAGGTAAAGAATGCATGGGTTATGTGCATGCAAGTAGGTACGTGCTTTAAAGTTAAGTTTGAAAACCTGTGCCAGATAACAGCTTTGACCGTATCATCAGATGAACCCTCATCCACACGTAAAAATCCCCCTCCCTTATCTGGTTGGCTTTTCTTCTGCGGGTAGCATCATCACCCTCAACTTCATGGAAACAAACAAGGAAGTAATCATGCATCCCTTCATCAACTCACCGATCAGTGTACTGATATCTTCCTCTAGAGGAAACAGCCCTTTTTAACCTAATACAACCCATATTCCCTCATCTTTTAGACCCCATTTCTTGTATCAACCAACCCCTAATCCATCCCATACCCCCATCCCATACGATCATTTAGTGGAATAATGACTGTCATCCGTCATCTGGTACACTCAAGTCCCATCTCCGCATCCAACAGATTCACACCGACATCCCCTCATCAGATGCACCCGCAATTTCATCTCCTCATCAGACAGGTCCATAATCTCACCTCCTTATCCAACAGATACACAGCCTCATCAGATACACCAACAACCTCACCTCATTGCATAACACATTCATATCCTTATCAGACACACCCACAATCTCACCTCCTTATCCAACACATTCATATCCTCATCAGATACACCCACAATCTCACCTCATTGCATAACACATTCATATCCTTATCAGACACACCCACAATCTCATCTCCTTATCCTACACATTCATATCCTTATCAGACACACCCACAATCTTGACTCCTTATCCAACACATTCATATCCTTATCAGACACACCCACAATCTCACCTCCTTATCCAACACATTCATATCCTTATCAGATACACACCAACAACATATCCTTATCTCACCTCATTGCATAACACATTCATATCCTTATCAACCAGACACACCCACAATCTCACCTCCATACACACAATTCAGACACACCCACAACCTCCTTATCCAACACATTCATATCCTCATCAGACACACCCACAATCTCACCTCCTTATCCAACACATTCATATCCTCATCAGATACACCCACAATCTCACCTCATTGCATAACACATTCATATCCTTATCAGACACACCCACAATCTCATCTCCTTATCCTACACATTCATATCCTTATCAGACACACCCACAATCTTGACTCCTTATCCAACACATTCATATCCTTATCAGACACACCCACAATCTCACCTCCTTATCCAACACATTCATATCCTTATCAGATACACCAACAACCTCACCTCATTGCATAACACATTCATATCCTTATCAAACACACCCACAATCTCACCTCCTTATCCAACACATTCATATCCTCATCAGACACACCCACAATCTCACCTCATTGCATAACACATTTATATCCTTATCAGACACCCACAATCTCACCTCCTCATCCAACATATTCATATCCTCACCAGGCACACCCACAATCTCACCTCATTGCATAACATATTCATATCCTCATCAGACACACCCACAATCTCACCTCCTTATCCAACACATTCATATCCTCATCAGACACACCCACAATCTCACCTCCTTTGCAACACATTCATATCCTTATCAGACACACCCACAATCTCACCTCATTGCATAACACATTCATATCCTTATCAGACACACCCACAATCTCACCTCCTCATTAACACATTAACACCCATTCACCTCCTTATCCATATTTATCTTAGACACACACCCACAATCTCACCTCCTCATCCAACACATTCATATCCTCATCAGACACACCCACAATCTCACCTCATTGCATCCAACACATTCATATCCTTATCAGACACACCCACAATCTCACCCCATTGCATAACACATTCATAACACATTCATATCCTTATCAGACACACCCACAGTCTCACCTCATTACATAACACATTCATATCCTCATCAGACACACCCACAATCTCACCTCATTGCATAACACATTCATATCCTTATCAGACACATCCACAATCTCACCTCCTCATCCAACACATTCATATCCTTATCAGACACACCCACAATCTCACCTCATTGCATAACACATTCATATCATCATCAGACACACCCACAATCTCACCTCATTGCATAACACATTCATATCCTTATCAGACACACCCACAATCTCACCTCCTCATCCAACACATTCATACCCTTATCAGACACACCCACAATTTCACCTCCTCATCCAACAGTTTCATATCCTCATCAGACACACCCACAATCTCATTCCATAATCAGAAACACCCACAATCTCGCCTCCTTATCCAACACATCGATATCCTTATCAGACACATCCACAAACACATCCCCAATCCAACCGACCCCACCCCGTTACCAAATACCCACACACCCTCATGGCCACCCCTGAAACACCAAACTAAGAGACTTACCTCAAAGACCAGTAGCGCCAGTATCGTGATGCTGGCGAGGTGGAATGCATGGGCGATATCGTCCTCCACGCGATGCTCCGATAAGTTTGGAGAATGCTCCTTATTCTTGGTGCGTGGCCACCCTGACGAATTTGTATGCACTGTATAGCTCCCACGTGCACTTTCTCGCCTGACACGAGTGACATTTCTCGGGACATATGCAGGCGTAGAATAACTGCTAATGTTTAATATCCTTTCATTCCAATAAATATTCGACTGAAGGAGTTTTTCAAAAATATGGTCATTGTTCTCTTCTTCAGCAATGGTATCCGGATATTGTTTTTGCAACTCTCGAACAAACTCACTTATCTTTCCCTCCGACCTTTCCAGTGAATCTGAAACAGTTGAAAATGAATTTATGAAAGCAGCCTGGTAAAGATCTTCAACTCAAAGATGTGTTTTGTTTGTAAATGAACATTTGGGTTTAATATATATTCTTTGAAAGACCCGTGATGGTCCGGGTTAGAATATTGACCTTCAGTAACCCATGCTTGTCGTAAGAGGCGTCTAACGGGATCGGGTGGTCAGGCTTGCTGGCTTGGTTGACACATGTCATCGTTTCCCAGTTGCGCAGATCGATGCTCATGCTGTTGATCACTGGATCGTCTGGTCCAGACTCGATTGTTTACAGACCGTCTCCATATGGCTGGAATATTGCTGAGTGCGGCGTAAAACTCAACTCACTCGTTCACTATTCTTTGAAATCAATCGAAATCTCTTGTCCAAGCCAGCAACTCGTTACAGGGTTACCATTTGCAAAAAGGGTATGGTGAATTTTACATAATGGTTGTAAAATTCATGTAAGGAGTAATTAATTAAGGGATTGTGCAGAGTGGGATATGAGATGAATGTACAGTGTTCAGAACTAACGGAACAGGATGCTGATTGAAGAAAAATGTTTACGAGAATGGTATGAAGAAATGCGGACTGTTTGAGTGAGTGAGATGGTATTTTACGCCGTCTTGAACAGTATTTCAGTTTAGTGCATGATATTTTATGCCGCCTTCACTGTGAATGGAAGAACCCACTTGGTGCTGGTGAATACTTTGGCACTGTAAGGCCAAAAAATATAACATAATCAGGTTGGAATCAACGATCTTCCAGACAGACTAGACGGAAGCTTAACTTTGACCTCTGTTTATCTTTGACCGGATTTTGGTATATTTTGCAGCGGGTTTACTATGAGTGAGGGTGCTGGGATTACACTACAAAAATATTCCTGTCATACCTTGGAGGAGAACTCCAAAGAGTGAGTGAGTGAGTTAAGTTTTACGCTGCACTCCAATATTCCATCTATATGGCGGCGGTATATCGAGTCTGGACCAGACAATCCAGTGATCAACAGCAACAGCCTCGATCTTCGCAGATGGGAACCGATGACATGTGTCAGCCAAGTCAGCGACCACCCGATCACGTTAGTGACCTCTTACGACAAGCATGGGTTACTGAAGATCAATTCTAACCTGGATCTTCACGGTTAGGACTCCAAAGATGGACTCCATACATTTTATCAATGTAACGAAAGAACCCGGGCTTTGGATATGACCGGACAAGACGTTGACCACCACATGCACCCATCGCCTGTTCATTCACCTAATTTGGGTATACACTCCGGGTCCGTTTGTACAAAGCGATCTTACCGCAGCGATCGCCGTAAGTGTGTTAAAGTATGGCAGTTACGATGGTTGGAGCTAAGGTCGCTTTGCACACATGTAGCCCTTGAACCTATATCTTTGCTATCCAAACAACATCCCGATGACCTATGGATTAACTTAATCAGTTCTCTGCGTTCGGTCCCAATCTGAACAGTCTCTCCCTATTTGTCTGTACCAACTGGTAATAAATCACTATTAATTGTCAAATCTTTACCGCTGATAAGATCTAATAATCCGCCTATTTCATCTTGTTACTGTGACCGATTTAGTATCGTATTGGCGTTATCGATCTGTGTACTGGCCTTGTCAAGAATGTATACTCCCTTTACTCCATTTATATTGCTAATTGGCAGTAGTGACTGTTATAGGTATATTTGTAATTGTCGTTGGTAGCCAAAGATTGAAGAGATATAGTAAGTGAGAATGGTTTTACGCCGCATTAAGCCACAAGGAATAGGTGTCACAGATTGCTCCCATGTGGTGAATAGTTATAGAACCCTGGTCTTCGGATTGAGGAGCGAACGCAAACCACTAGGCTACCCTACCGCCTGCGCTTTACTAGCAGGATTTCAACATGAAGCATGATTAGAGTTACCGCCCTTAGGCGTTGTTTTCCAACATGGCGTTCTTGAGACGTCTTGAGGTGGGATAGCTACTAGAGAACTGACCGCCTATCAGAACGACAAGAAGGCGAATCGATGCGTCGTATGTGACTATTTAATTAATGTGGATGGGAGAACTATCTAGAATCACAGAAGTCCTGCCAACTTCCAACCCTTTTCCAGATTCATGAACAGACACAAGGCATTTTTCATGTAGTTCCGCTGCTAAAATTCTCGACATTCGAGAATGTACAAATACACTGCGTGTTGGGCTTGTTACCATTTACTGTTGTCGCTGACCCATTGTATAGCATTTTGTAATGTAAACCTATCACTGTGTTTCGGAATAAATCTCACTTTCTCATTGGCCTTATGTGGCCCTTTACTGAATTCACAATTACCTTCTGTGGAATGCGATATTGTGGTAAACCATTTCGCGTTGAATTAGAAATCACCTCGTAATAAAGTATAGAAATTTTGTTAACCCAGTTCTCCCAGTAGGGGCTTTTCTCTGACAATTGGTTTATTAGGGGCCGTCCATTTCACATTCTTAAAAGCTGGGATTTCATAATAAAAGATCTTCAAGATTTTCTAAAAGAAACACTATTCGCTTGACATGCTGAAAGTCCTGAAATACATGATCGGGGGGTTTCAAGGGGGAGTAGAAAGCAGGTAGCCTCTATATTTGGTATACCCAGACATTTCAGAACCATTCAGGTATTTACAGATTTTCTCATTTAAAATATAAACATACAAAGTGGGAACCTCATGATTTGGTTTTGAATTTCATTTAAGACGTTCCATTTCAAGATCTACTACCTTTATTTAGCTGAATCTTGGAGATGAAAATGTCAAGATACTATTTTTTAGACTATGTTGCAAATAGATCAGACAGAAAATCCGTTTTTTCCAACATCTAAGATTACGTGAAAAAAATCAGGAATTAAGCAGCATCAAGATTGACATAGCTGAACAAAATTGTTTAAACCTTTCCCTTAGTAAACCCTAAAAGGCTGTAGTACAATTAAGCATTGTCAGCAATTATCTAGCTTAGTTGTAACACAGTCAAACGTCACATTTTGCTTGAAATTCACATGCAGCATCCAATTAACCGTCTGCAGTACACTTAATGTTCTATAAATATACCCAACGTGATCACATAACGACATCGCCGTGAGCGATGAGCATGAGTCTGGCTATTATTGCCAGACAGCATCATTAAAAACAGCTTCTTCTTTGGTTCATAAAGGGATAGACTCAGTTAAAACAAACCTGCCATGAGTAGCTTTTTGCTTTCCCAATATTTAAATGGCATCTCTTTCTCGACCATCAGTCCGGAAAGAGATGGCTCTTAATTTCGGGGAAGCCAAAATCACAAAAAGCGAGTGTTGTCTAATTTGGCCTTGAGGTACGATGCAAATGAAATGACGTTGCAGCAAATTTGTTGGAGCAAGCTAAACAAAGATGAGTAAATGAATTTAACTGTAATGTCAAAGCGTGTTCTTTGAAACAAAACCCCCAAAACAAACAAAAAACATTGGTCGAAGACGTTTCTCTCTGCGGCGAAGGGCGGTGGGGTAGCCTAGTGGTTAAAGCGTTCACTCTTCACGCCAAGGACCCGGGTTCGATTCCCCACATGGGTACAGTGTGTGAAGACCATTTATAGTGTCCTATGCCGTGATATTTCTGGAATATTGCTTAAGGCGGCGTAAATCTAAACTCACTTACTTACCTGGCTTCCAATATCAAGCTGGTTGGTGTTTAACGCTGCACTCAACAATATTCCAGCCATATAGCGGCGGTCTGTAACCACACAATCCAGTGATCAACATCATGAGCATCGATCTACGCAATTGAGATACGATGACATGTGTCAACCAAGTCAGCGAGCCTGACCACCCGACCCCGTTAGTCGCCTCTTACGACAAGCATGGGTTACTGAAGACCAATTCTAACCCTGATCTTCACGGGACGGCTTTCATTATCCAAGTTAGGATTCAATCCCAAATCAGCGGATGCTGACAAAGGACGCTACTAAACACAACGTATCGTGGGGGTGTTCACCACGGGCTTAGCAATGCGTGATGAATAATTGCACACAAAGTCTATTAAGACAATAACTGTTGCTGATAAATGACGAGATCAAATGACCCAAAATTCACCAAACCCGTCAAATGACCAGAAGGTACTGCTGTAGAAGATAATTACCCACAAGAAAATTGATATTGTTTCAAATACACTATTAAGCAGACAGGGCGAATCCAGTGGAGGTGTTATTTTTCCATATAGATGGAAGCTGAAAATCCAATTATCAGATAACTCCATTCAACGCGGTGTTTTCTACCATTTATGCAGGGTCCAGTGGGAAGCACCTTGATCACATCATCCATAAAGAATTCCGTTGCAATATGGAGTTGCAAAGTGGCTTCTGACGGAAGGAATGGCTTCAGCACACGACGGCGTTGCAAGCGGCCGTACCACTCCCCAAGAGAAGCACGTCATCGCGCGGGCTATAATCAGACCTGAAGCACTGTCTGACTTGGTTTTTCCACTAATTAAACATTTTGCTATCCGGTTGGATCAACAACGATCAAAGCCTTGGAGTTGGATTGTTTTCCGAATGTTGCTCGGAAGAAGAATCACAGTTGAAAATCTTTTAGGGTGACCCCTTAAAACCGTGTCATGATTAATTCGTTGACAGAGACTGGTTTTGCACCATCAGTATTACGACAAGGGAAGCCGTTGGATGTGAGTATATGGTTACTTTCGCGCACAAGTGTCGTAAATATGTTCAATGATCCAGTCTTATGATTTGCACTGCTCTATGGCCGAATTGTTTGGTTGGATTATCGAGAATAGTCATTCTCTGACGTATCGTGCATTAAGTAGGTTCTTTTATGGAAGGAAAACCGAAGCACCACCCCAGCCTCCCCCTCGAGTTCTATTCTTACACACACTGTTCACGGTAGCTGACATATCTATTCGGATGAATAAGCATAAGCGTGAGTGAGTGAGTGAGTGATTTACTTTTTGCAATATTCCAGCAATATCACGGCGGGCGACACCAGAAATGGGCTT